ATTTGGAAATAATAAGTGAGGAAGAGAAATAAATAAGATAAGAGCATATCATTGGACATACAGTAGTGTAGATAAGTCAGTGCTGTATTTCTAGTCCAAGAAAGACAAAACAATTACTAAATACAAATTTCATGTGTGACAAGTGTGTCAGGGACACTCAGTTTGCCCAGCGGAGTGAATCACAGTGTGCTGACACATTATGAGTGTGCGCTGAAGTGAGGACAGCGTAGGAAGGCTGAGTGTGCACATAATGTTAGTCTGTGAGTTGTGTCATGAGTGAAAGTAATGTGTTATCTTGTAAACTCAGACTTTCTCCTTCATACTGGATGAAAGGAGCGATGGACAGGGTAGATAGTGTGTCTGTATGTTGCACAGGGAGAGGGGAAAGGTGCACAGAAGCGGAAGCACAGCTGATTGACAGTCGGCATGGCGATGGAGGCGGGTTCTAGTCCTCTGAAGCATGGCGATTGGAAAAAAGAGGATAAAAAAGGAATATTGGAGAAGATGGAAGTAAAAGGGGAAAAATGGGGTTGAAAGCAAGAAAGGGGAAGATAAGAAAGAGTAATGCATCAGGTGCATTAAAATAAAAAATGGTTCATCAGAAAGAGAGAATAAATAATAAAAGTGTATAAATCAAGAGTAAAAATAATAAATATAAAATTAAAATATTTAAGCGAGGAGAAAAAAAGAGAAATGAGAATAAGAGGAAGGGACAAGGGGGGGAAAGGAAGAAAGCAGATTAGTAAAGCGGTCAAAGAAATCTGCAATTACTTTAACATAGGTCAAATAATTGACCAAGATGAGATGAAAAAAAGGTTTTAAATCTTATATTGGTCAAATATGTGGGTAGATATCTTATATGATATATTATGTGCCGTGCAGAGGAGTCATGCAGTGGAGGTGCAGCATGCAGCATCCCAACACATACACTTCACACTTACACATCTGCTCCGTCAGGATTCAGCTTACACTCTCAATTACGTGACCCAGTTACTAATTATACTGCTTCCTCTCCCTGGGCTCTTTGGGAATAACAATGATGAATGGATTCAATGCACTTCCACAAGGCCAGATGCTCTTCTGAAATAGGCCCACTGAAAACTATATAGCACATCTCACGCTGTACTCAAATCAGAGAGTTTAGCTAGAACTTAAACAGAGCATCCTTCTGACACCATTTTCATTATTTGACATGAACACATTTACACATACAGCCAAGTAACCATGGTAACACAAGTGACCCATGCCATGCAAACAGCTAAGCGGGGAACATGCCAACACAGGCGTCTGATTTATATGCTGATCACTCCTCCCACTGTCGCCAACATACATCCCACCAACTGCACATTTATCAGCTGGCAGAATAATACAGCTACCACAATATGTGCTTTAATTCCTAGCAGAAGTTGTTTTTTCGCTTATAAAACCAAGCAATCACTTATTTCAACCAGGCATCAATGCACGGATCCAACACAATGCTTCATCAGCAGAGCATTGACCTGCAGTCAAGAGGAGCAGTGACACATTCCTGCCATTTTGAACATAACATGTTAATCTAAAAGGATGTTGAGGTAACACACTTGCATTGTGCCTGATCACAGTAGCTCGCAGACGTTTACAGTGCGGGTATACAGACTGTTTCACTTAAATACTGAACTTGAATGTCAGGTAACAAAACAATCTACACCACCATTCTGCCAAGTGGATGGTTCTTTGACTAATGCATGTATGTGTATGGGTAAGCACCAGCAGTTTGTTGCAATCACTTCTGATTTTACTTAGAAAGAAAGTCACAATGTCTTGCTTTAAGCCAGGCTTACACTTTCCTGTAGTATTTTTTAATTTGTATTTTAATAATCCAGACTATTTTATATTGTTTTGTTTATATTTGATATAATATTTGCATTTTATTTGTAATTGTTAATTCTCTTTTCCACTTATTAAAATATTTAAAGTATTGTATTTTAATGTCTGAACACACTTCTGCTTCTGTGACGAAATCATTTTCCAAATTGGGATCAATAAAGTTTCTATCTATCGATCTATCTATCTATATTGCACTTTAAGCCAGGCTTATATTGCATTCTGTGTGCAACTGTTACATACTGGCCCCAGGCTGGATATAAACCAGCAATTAGCCAATATCCAATGTTTATATCAGAGTTTGTAATAACCAACCTGTTGTTGACATTGTGTCATGCAGATTATGCCTAGGAAAAAGTTCCCAAAAGTGCACTTCAGTTGTATCTTTTGATTAACTTAACATTTCGGATCTCCATGTAAGTACAGTAGGTCTAAAAGAAAAGTGTTGCCTGCTTCTCTTTCTCTCCTTCACACACATTTGGTCACGTATAAATGGATTATGAGTTGGAGCTCGTGGTACACCATTTAACACATGTCATACTCTGCAGATACTGTATGTGCAGCAGTGAGGATTACTTGTTGTCAGTGGAGGCGACCTCAGATACTCATTTATACACCCATGCACAATCCTTGACATGCACAGCAGTACTGCAGTTTCAAATGGAACAGCTCCATGACAAAAACAAAAAGTGAACTGGGGAACATGAGTTTGTCTGGAGGAATTGTGTTAAAACTGAGAAATGGGGGGAAAAGGAGAACATACTATTGAAAAATCTGACAAGCGGATTTTCCGACTGTAACACACGTAAACACACAAACACACACCCACACAGAGCTCTCTCTCTCTCAGTCTATTTCAGTACAAGCAGACAGCCAGAGGGGCAGACGGAGTGCGAGTTCATTAGACACAATAAACTCCTCTCTAGAGCTGCATCTCTTCTCTGCGGCTAATTATCTCCAATAAGAAGTAACACTATAACAATTTATCCGCATCACAAGCCACAAAAGGACTGTCGAGTGCGAGCTTCAACTGGCGTGCTATTCCATTTATTAAAAGGACTTGATATGATCAGAGCAACACTTTGACAATCTCCTGCTTTCAATTAAGACTAATTTTCATGCAAATCATCTACTTTGCGTTCACAATTAATGAAGTCTTCACTGATTAGCTCTCATTGTGAGCTTTAGAAAGGCAGCTATGCAAAACCATAAATCTGTAGATGTATGGGGTTTCAAAAAGGGTCCATCCTCCATCACTGATACAGGAAACAGGAAGTCAAAGATAGAAAATATGCAGTCTTAAGGCCAGCCCGCAGCTGTAAGGAGTTCTTTTGCCGATTAATAGTTTAAGTTCAAAATCATATGAAAAAAGACTTTGCTTATTCGAAGTAAATGTGGCACAGGTGCAGAGCAACGGAGGGATCACCCACACATTCAATATGAACATGTTATCTATATTTGCCGAATAAGTCATTATTATAATTACTCCACACTTGACAAAGAGAGTTTTTCATATAGAATACAGCTGGAAAATGTATACATGATAAGAACTTGGAATGTGTTATTTATTTGAAAAACTTGGGTTGTGTCCTCCTTTATTTTAATATGTATTATTTTTGTAGGAATTGAGGGCTTATAGCATCCTTTTAAGGTTTATTTTGTTACAGTTATAACCAAAGGATTGTCAGTTCAATGTAGAAAAGGCTCTAGAGAAGCATTAGAATTCTCCATTTGAGAAATAAAAGAAAATATATATACATTTGAAGAGTTACTGAACAAATAAATATTTTAAATTGATCGTAGAAAAACACGTTTTAAGAGAAGCAACCTTGTTCTTAAGAAGCCATTAAAAGGATGTTAGAGAGAACTAAGAGCAGCTCACATCCTCCCTGGAAGTCTTATAATAAACACACACACACAAACACACACACACACACACACACACACACACAAAGGGGGGGGGAAACATCGGTAATTAAAGTGTCAAAGTCTCAAAATGCTACAACTACTGTCACAAACTGGATGAATGTGAAGTATTTTGTTAAAGGAGGATGAAAGCGTAATTAAGAAGCACTATTGGAGTGACTTTGATGGTTATTGGACTCAGGATTAATTCATTTGGATGCCCGCTGTATGAAGAAATTAAAGGATGGCGCAAGTGGAAACAATTCACAAAGGGATTAAACTGTTTAAAACACATGCTCAAAGTAAGCCGGATTTGCTTATTTGGATTCAAAAGTCGTAAATAATCTACAAAATGGGGGAGACCGATCTGATCAGAGGAACTGTGACAAATAATCCAACTGAAACCGGCATGGACAATAACTATGTTTTAAAAATGCGCTTATCCAGAAAAGCATTATACACTTCTGTCTTTTTATGCCTTTAAGATCTACTAACTTGAATTTTTATTAAAACTAATGAATCAATTATTTTGTATATTGTATTATAATGTAGAGACAAGGCTTTTAGTGACAATCATGTATTGCGTTCAAAAAGTTAAAAAAAAAAAGTTAAAAGTCTAAATATGATATTTGGCCTCAAATCATCTGAGGCCTGGCGCCCCCCCTGCGAACCCCCAGGTTGGGAACCACTGATTTAGCTGATGCTTTTATCCAAAGCGACTTACAATAAGTGCAAAAACCATAAAGAATCAAACACCAAACAACAAGGAAAGTGCAGATATATACACTTCAAGCAAGATCATACCATAGTAAGTGCTGGTGAATTAGTTACAAGGCCTAAATTAACTCAAAAAGTGCTTAGTGCTTTTTTCTTTCAGCAATAACTTAATTGCCAAGGTACAGTCGAAATAAATGCGTTTTTAGTTTGCGACAGAAGATATGCATAGTTTCTGCTGTCCTNTCGTTTGATCTCCCCCTGCCTGCCTCAGATGAAATTGATTAGAGCACTATCTATGATAGGGATGAAGTACACACACACACACACACACACACACACACACACACACACACACACACACACACACACACACACACACACACACACACACACAAGAACAAGAAGGAAGTAAACAAGGTCGATACAAAAGAAAAAGACTGACAGCTCATGATTGGTGGATAGGGATGACCAGACGGCCTTCCCGACGGCAGAAGGAATTGTGGGATATGTCTTACCAGGCTTTTGCACCCCATGAGCTTCCTGCTCTCCATTCTCCATCGCAGCACCGGTGTCTGTGCACACACACACACAAACACACACGCACAAGCAACACATTACTCATCTGATTGCTAATGGCTTGAAGAGATAGAAAATCTAACTGCATGGTATTGGTTGGTAGACCGTAAATAATACAGACTGGTTTCCCCTAACCCTGAGTTTGAGGGCTTTTGAAGGGCACCTCACAGGCATGTGTTTTATCTGCTAGTGGATGAACACGTTGGTAACACACACACACACACACACACGTTCTGGTCAGACTGGGGCTGGCAGAGGGGAGCGCATATTACAGGAAGTGATACTGTGTGACATCTGACTGCTGAATCACTGCACTTTATGTATGTATCTAACACACAAAGCACAAAAGGGCATGAATCAATCACTCAAACATATAAATAGCATGCAAAGAACATGCACAGACACAAGACTAGTTTTAGTAAATGGCCTACCAACATTTTACAATTTGCCCCTTCACCCATAATTATCACATTTACATCTGTCTCAATGCACCCATGCACTCACTATTAACACATAAATTAAGACTTTAAAGTATAGGCATGAAAAACCTGAAGAAAAACCTGCAAAAACACATACACAAAAAGGTATGCCTAATTTGTCTTCATACAAGCAAACAGGACCCATATATCACTTAGCATAACAAGAGTGAAGCAAACTAACAACTGTGTTAAATAACAAAACAAAACTTCCAGTGTGTGGCTCTCCTGCTGACAGAGGACAGTTATTTGCAGACCGCCTCGCCCTGCTGTTTGGCACTCGGCATGTCAGCATGTCTGCGTTTGTCCAAATGCAAGCAGTGTGCCACAGTTGATCTCTGGAAAGCCCCCCCCCCTCCCCCAGCACGGCCTACAGCCCGCTGTCACTGAACAGTGCCCACACACAGTCTGAATGTCTGGCCCGTGTGCCGGGTAACCAAAACAGGCCCGAGAGCTGAGTCAGCCACGGTTCACTGTCACTTCCTTTTAGCTGGCTGCTTATCGGATGCATCTAATCTGCTTACTTATCTTTTCATCATAATAGGCTTGGGTGACCTTCCTGACATCTCACTCAGGTTTACGGTATATGTTATCCGTGTAAAAACAAACCAAAATAAAAAATGAATAGCTAAGCTGCTTGTGATATGAGTCATTGTAGCATGTATGACATTGAATAGCAAACAATGCTATGTGTCTAATATGCAAATAGCTTAATTTATTTTTCAGCCTCACTGTGCACTTGAGAATTATTACCAATCCAAATCAAAAACTTCCTTCATACAGCAACCTTTAATACAAATATTTCACAAGAATGCAATCAACTCATACAAAGTCTGTTAAATGAACAAGTGAAAAATGACTCTTCCTGAGACCTCAAAGAGTTTTACTCTTAGAGCCTTGTACAAAAGTGCTGCGGTGTATTATTATCATACATTCTTTGGATCTAAACCCTGAGCATCTTCACAGGAGCAGGTGGGGCGTTTGGATGGTAACTGCTCAGAGACGGTACAAAGTTCCCAAAATGCAATAGTCATTTGAGTTCAGTTATTTTGCTTATCTTCAGGCTACTATCTGTCCGGCGGCTGAGTGGCACACCAGCTGATCCAAAATGACAGCCAGTGTCCAGCGGCCTCTGATACTATCAGTCATTTAGGAGCAGCTGCAGTTCACGTTACACAACAAGGATTCTAACTCTGTGAGCATAATGTTGTTCAGGAAAATGTTAGTCAATGACAAAGATCACTTGCTGCTTCAAGTAATCTGAATGTAGATGAACTGGGGTTTAAGTAACACAGGAGATGGAGTTTTGTTTTCATTTAAAAGTTATTTATTTATTTGAATGGTGTGCTGAATAGTGTGTACTAGGAAAGTGGTTCTCAAATGGGGGTACGTTGGAGTGCTGCAGGGGGTACGTGAGATTTATTTTATGTTAATGAAAAAAAAAAAAAGTAATGCATTTAAACAAACTACTAATAGTAGATGAACTACTTTATTCAAAAGTTTACAGTAATTCTGGATAATAAAATGGGAGAAATAAACGGGGTGATCTCTTTTCCTCTCCCTCTCCTGACAGCCCGTCAGTCGTCAGCTCGCTGAACCTGTAATATATTTATAACTAGTTTAGCTAGTTCCAGATAAACTAGTAGCCTTAGTGTGTTAGGTCTAACTCTTAGTGTATTTTGCTCCGCTCGACGGTCCGTCACAGCGGGGGAGCTGTGATCATGCAGAGCTGCGTGTTCTCCGTCAGCAGCAGCTGATCTGATCTCTGATCTCTCTCTCGCGTCCGGTTATACTTCACTCGCGTTTATATCCAAATCTATCAGATCTAGCTAGTTCTAGTTAATGATATGACTGCCTGCTTATCAAAGGACCTAAACAATAAGCGTTGCTTGGCATCGGCTTGTGGCCACAAAGTATAGCGCAGCATTATGCGCATATGAGCGTCAAAATCCCATGCTCATAAAATGCTCCTATATTTGTTTCTCTTCCTCACGCCCCCCAAAATAAATAAATAAATATACCAATTTTAGGAAAAGTAACGAAGTTTGAGCAGTGTGGGTTTTATATTAACAGAGTTACACATATTTCAAAACGCGAAGTGTAATAACTGCAGTTGCCTCTCTGTCAGAATGACAAAGATCCTCAGTGAAGCTCAAGCCCATGTTTC